AAAGAAGCATCGAAAATTTTCAGGGAACACATATTCTTGATCGCCGTAAAATTCTCTATCGAATGGTGTCTGAAACATCGAAAAAAAAATTTTTGCTCGAACCTTGCTTTGCGTGCACCTTACAAAATAACTATACAATACCAAGCCTTACTGCTGAACAGTACAAGAGGAATTTGTTGTAGCATTGTACGCTTACCGTATCAAATTCTTGATTCCATTTTTTGTTCGTAATTACATATTTGACATGTTTGTTCATATATGGTTCTAATTTTCCGCCATAGGCATGAATAATTCGTTTAATACTATGATGAGTTTTCTCGTCAAAATCACCGATCGCAAAAAAATGCTTTCCAAGAAAACAATCTGTTAACTTAAATCCCACATCACCACCTCCTCTACTCCGCTTTCCATCTATATCCATATCGGAGTTTTCATCTGTTTTTGATTCGTCTTCATCTGTTTCATAACCGTAAGCTAAAAGAAACAAACTACTCTTAAGTTCAACTAGCGCCATAAAGAAAAATCGTTTCCGATACGAAAACAATTAAGAGAGGAATAAACTATACAGAATATATGCAACTTTAGAAATATCAACTGGAACAATAAAGCTTGATAGTATGAAACTTCTGTTGTATTACAAACTACCTTCATCGTCATCATCATTATCTGCTGCTTTTTGCACCTGAGTCGATTTTCGTTCAACATCTTTTGAAACTTTTTTCGGTGATCTTGATTTTCGAACAACTTCTTTTCCCCAATCCTGATCATCCGTATCATCACTATCGTCGAATCCATGTTTCTTTGTCACTGAGGATCGTTGTGATGTTGTGGCTGCTTTTTTCTCATTTGTTGCTGTTGTTGTGTTTCTTTTGTTATGCTTATCTGCTGCCGGTGATGCTGACGTAGTTGCTAATTCATAATTTTTCCACGATAATAATTCATGCTTTTTATGACAATCAAGTATCCAATCTTTTGTAACAATTTTTCCGCCAGCTTTTTTTACTTGATCATACTTCGGCGTGTTCGAAAATGCACATCTCAAAAACGAAAAGAAGAGACCAAATAAACGGACTGATAGCAATTATAAAAAAAAGAAGTGAACACTTTGATTCACCAATTGCGATAGATATATTTCGATCTCACCATACTTTATAAGAAAAATGGAGGATATAATTCAGAGCTTAAACTTCTATCCTCAAAGAGTATTTAAAAAACTCTATATACATACATCAAATGTGAACATTTTTCATTCCAATCTTGCTGGTATTTTGCACCCATTTGAGTTGCTTTATCTCTCAAATCCGCGCGTAATGGATTTTGAAAACCACTAAGTACAAATGTCACGTCTTTCATCAACTGTGAAAATGTTGCCGTTGACTTTTCAACGTTAGTAGTATCATTTATTGTTTTACTGATGTTCGAAGAAGCTAAAGACAGAAACATCAATCCATTTTCTCAAATAAGTTAAGAAACTATGAATGGATGAGTTTTAACTACTATTTTTAACTATCTCAGCTTACTTTTCGGACGCTTGACTTCACTTGTTGTCGCATTTGCACCACGGTTGTTTTTGATATCATCATCCGACAGTTTTCGTTTTGTAGTATTATCACTCGGTGTTCCCATAGGTGATGACTGTTATAATTGAAAAACAGATATAAATACTTGTGAAACCAAAAATTTCTTACGTACTGTTGTTTTTGCTGATGTCGTCATTTTTTTTTCATCGTCTTTAAGTAGTTTTTGTATATCTTGATCTGTCATGGATTTTTCTGTTAAACGTTTATCAGCTATGTTCGATAAAGAACGAATTTCACTTGCTTTTGTAGTCGTATCGATTTGAGGTTGTTTGTCAGCGTTTTTTAATTTCGCAAAATAAGAACCAATTTTTTGTTGTTCTTTTTTTGTTTCATCTTCATCATCATCATCATCAGTCAATATCAGTTTTCCTGTGCTAAAGAAAAGCTTCTAGATAAATATCATTTCAGATTTATCCAAAACCTACATGCTTTTCGTTGTTGAATCTGTCGAAGGTGCAGAAGAAAATTTAATAAATTTGAGTCCGTATGTTATTTTTTTATTAAAATTTTGTTGACAGACTAATTTAACGCGATCCCTGTAAAGAGAAAAGAAAAGTCTTTATTGTCACTGGAGTAAAAGCGAGAGAAAAAGTACCATTTTTCATCGACCGTGTTTTTATTCAAATCTTGTTTTGTTAACATTTTAACTTGATTTCGATTTTGATTTATCTTTGAATCCGACACCGACATAAGTAAGGTCGTTGGTAATAATAATTCCCATGTATCAGGTGATATTGAACGAGCAACAAATATCTCGATAAATGCACATCCGTCATTTCCAATATCAATCGATTGAATTTGAGACGATTTTTCCAGCTGAATTATACAACTGATCTCTTTTTCACCAGGTTTTGCTGATAGCCATTTTTTATATTCTTCGGGTTTTAACAAATTTTCGCAACAATGAACCTAAACAAAAGCAAACTATTCAATCAAAAGACATACAACAAACAGTCTTAACTTACTTTATCTTCGCTACTGCAAGACAAAATATTTTTGAGTTGTATGACAGGCATTAAAACGATCTACAAGAAAACTTAAAGATTTTTTTATTATTTTGCAATTTTCACCATCAAATTTCAATTTTTTCGCAACACAAAAGACATATTCGCAATCTATATCAAAAGCTGAGTTGAATGATGTCTATTTCAAAAATTTTTGGAGAACTTCGATTTTTGTTTTGAATTTCTCGACCGAGCTTTTTGTTGAAAAATTGAAGTTCTCCAAAAAAATTTGAAACAGACATCATTCAACTCAGTTTTTGATGTAGATTGTGAATATACCTTTGGTGTTGCGGAAAAATTGAAATTTGATGGTGAAGATTGCAAAATACAATGCAATTCCTTAATTGCTGTCAGTGGTTTGGAAAAAATCTATTTTCTCAAAAAATTGCTCTTTGAATTTATAAAGACTTTATCGGTTTGCACGATACAAGGTAGGCTTTTCACCTGTTCTACTAAAGTTTGCGAAATTTTTTGAATACCACGTTAACATGATATCTTTTCTTTAATCGCAGAAAAGCAAATCGGAGAGAACAGGTTGCGTTTTGTCCATACTTCTGAAACAAGCAGAAAAAAGTGAAACTATACTCGCTGTTGACTGTAAAGAAGCGTTTTATATGCGTGTTTGTGTTTGTCTATAAAAAATGCAAAAATGGTCATCGGATAGTGCGTACAGAAGCCAATCACAAGAGAGAAATAGAGAAAAACGTTAATAAGTTTATACTCGTAGATGTGCTGAAGATAACCAAGACTAAGTTAGACATCGTCCTAAATATGCTTAATTTCTCCGAATTAAACGGGAAAATTGCTAGAGGGCACCATGGTACGGTATGACATATGCCACAGTGCTCGCTTTAACACTTGAAAATTGCTAGAGGATTATGCACGCAAGAAAGTATACTTAACTAGATAATTAACCACTAACCAGGATAAGGCCACTAGCCGGTGGTGCGGAGAGTCCAGAAAATTCGTGCCTCGACCGATTTCGCATTTGCTCTGAGCATGAAACTGTGTATCTACAGACAATAGTCTATAGGACACTTGCATACCACCGATAAAAAAAATTAAAGTTTGTTTAGAGTTAAAGAAAAGTACTTTTTCGTATTCAGCACACTTGATTACCTGGAAAATTTTCTATTTTTAGCGAGGGGTACCGCCAAAAAGTTAAGAAAAATTTTCAAACAAATTGACGCAGAAAAATCTCCATGGTAAAATTATACAATTTCGAAAATTTTTCTTAACTTTTTGGCGATACCCCTCGCTAAAAATAGAAATTTTTCTAGGTTATCAAGTGTGCTGAATACGAAAAGGCACTTTTCTTTAACTCTAAACAAACTTTAATTTATTGTCGGTGATGTGGGGATCTCGCAAAGATGTAAGGCTTGCCAAGAGAAACTACGTGATTAGTAGTACGAATTACTATTGCGTTCTCGCGTACGTACTACTAGTAGTACTAAAGAAAGTTGTAGTTTCATACTGATATGATACTACTGATTGTGCTACCATATTAATTTTTTTGTAATACTACTGTGTTCACCGTTTTGTTTGTTTCATTCACTAATGTATAAAAAGCACCAATTTCACATAACATAAGAAAATCCTAACTTTTCTTCCTTTCTTACATGTGAAGAAATAGTGTTGTAATTTTCATCCGTCATCTTATTCCATGACCGTCCTTGCCTGTACAGTCTCTGGCACTACTATCCGTACCAAATGGTCGTGCAGTCGGTTGCTTTTTGAATAACTCCTCGCGGGAGATAGATAATGAAGTGTGGTTTTCAGCATTAGAAAGAGGACACTTTAAGACATCTTTTCATAAGC